CAGGAATGGTTTATTTTAGAAACTGTTTATATTAGAAGCAATGATGTTTGAGAATCATAATTCACACTAATATAAAAGGAAGGAGCTCACATACTTTCCCAAAAAAGCATGGCATTGGTTGTCACACTGACTTAGTGGCCTCAGAGCACTTGCTCTCCCTAGATGCTATTCCCGATCCATCCATTTTCTTTATGATGTAGCTGAAAACACACTGTTGGAGAGCAGCCTCAAGGCAGCCTGGGGGAAGCCTCTCTCCCACCTTCAAACACAAGCTAGCTTGTTCTTGGAGAAGAGAGACACTCTAGCTCTCTTCCTTATGTTTCATGAAACACACCCCAAGCCCAGTAACCAGGCAAAGAGCTGCCATTGCCTTCAGTTAACAGAGTTTGTTTTTACAAACTGCAAACTGCATTCTACTCCCTGAGCTGTTTCTCCACAGTGGCTATGGGAGTAGGGAGGGATCAGATCCAGGGCCCATCCCAGGTGCACAAATCTCACCCATGACTCTCTCTGGATTCATGGGATGAGTCCTGAATCCAAATGAAGGAAATACCTGTTTACAGGAAACTCTTGGTCGCTGGGGAAATGTGTAAATAAGAGCAATTAAATCATTACATGCCAACTACAAGGTTAGAGCAGTTTCTGAAGCTCTTTCAGCTGAAGCTGAAGTCATGGACTAGCTGAGCCCAAAACTTGCAGGATAGCTGCACCAAAAAATGTGCGCTCTTCCCTCTTCTTTTTGGATATTAAGTCCCTGGCTCTTGAAATCTCTGAGGCTACTCAGTACTGAGATTACTTCATCTCCCCAGTGACAGCCAGGAACTCAGCAATAATTCACCGCTGAAATGCTCCTCACTGGAGTCAGACCTAATTAGTGTAGCAAAACACAGAGAATTACAACACCACAAGGTGACTGAAATGGCATCCATTATTGATTTGCAATCCATTTCTACAGTGCCCCATGAAGTTAATTAAATTTTGAAATGCTGCTTCTGCCACAGAAAGAAAACTAAGCTGTGCAATATAGTGTTTGTTTTATCATGAAACAACTGTCTTGCTAGTTTGGATATCATGTGTCATATATTTTAAAGAGCTCTGCATTTACTCTCCTTACCCTGTTCTCCTCTGCTTGGTAATTTGTCAGTTAAGAGATGTACCAGCAGCCTTTCCTCACCCAGGCAGAAAGTCAACAGTTTTCCAAAGGAGGGTAGTCCAGCATTCGGGAAATGTGTGTGTAAACACATGCATCAACAATAAGGTGAGCGTGCAACTGCAGATGCACAGAATGTGCTTTTCCAACTACAATGTTCAGAGCAGGACACGTATTCAAGAACGAGTTGACCAAGTTACATTCACAGATTTGGAAGGCATCTTGGCACAAGCTAATAGCCCTCTCTGGGATTCCCTGAGCAGTGTCCAGTGCTAATGTGGTTAAATAATTTCCAGGCAAGGTGGACATCCTTCTCATTACCCAAATGCATACTCATTTGTGTTTCAGGCTGGAAGACACTTACATTTTTGGTTTGCAGTCCATATCTAAAACACCAATGAAAATCTGGAGCTATTATATCCCAAATAAATTCTATGTGTACAGAAGTGACTATGCACAAATGGAGAACATAGGCAATGCTCAGCATTTAGTAAAGCTAATTATATGCTTTGCTCAGTATTGTTAAAAAGTACCACTCAGATCAGTGTTTTACACCCATCTTGCATAAGTGAGATTACACAGGGCAACAGAAGATTGGCATCAGATCTCAAATTTGATCCAACATTTCTTTCTCACACTAGGCCCATGGGACAATTTGAAATATTTACTGGTATGTGATTATTTACTCAGGAGAAGCTTTCCCAAGCAAGGGCAGGTTATTGCACAGATAGTATATATTGTAACACTATAAAAGTCTAAGTGGTTATTATGCTGCTGTTAAGTGTGCATCACTTTCCTTACCTAAATTCCACCATCTCCTAATTTTGAAGTTTGCTGTGGCCTAGACCTTTGCTTTCATTGGAGGATTTAAAGTGTAATTAAATGCACGCATGTAATAAATGGCTGATTTTGATCTGCTGTAAACTGATTTAATGCATTTGTGATGCCACTTGCTCTTAATAGAACTGCTCTAGAATTCACCTGAAGCAGGAACCGGCTCTTTTAATAGAAAGTATGCAAATTGTACTATTTCTAGTTTCTTTCTTTCTGAATAAATAAATAAATGTTAAAACTGGAAAAACCTGTGACCAGGCTTGTTTTGCACTTAATACTTATTTCAGCACTTCAGTGAAAAATCATGTATTGGGATTGAAAAAAAGCAAACAACCTAAGCCAAGCACAAAAAGGGTTTAAGACACATATTTTAGATAATTCTCCTAAGCCTTTCACATTTTCTCCTCTGCAATGAAGGCTACAAATTAGCTTTCATTTAAATAAAAAGAAAATTCCCACAAGGACAAGAGTTTTCCTAGGCTTGTGACAGCATCATGAGATGTCACAACACTGACACTTATATAAGCCTGTGATATCAAATTCAGGATGTTTCTGTGGTTTGAAATTAAAGTTGAGAAAAAAAGTTTGTTGCTAGTTAAAAGGATTTTATCAGTCACACAGACTCTCAGTGACTGCACACACTAACCCTGCAGGCAAGGTAGAGATAAGTGCAATAGCTCAACCTCAGAGCTTGAGTAACCTTTTTTTTTTCTTCAGTATCTTCCAGTGCAATCTCCACCTCCCTCCAAGTTACTGAACATTCAAGCTTCAAGGGATCAGCAAGCTCTGATGAACCAGGGCTTCCTAATGCCCCTATTCTAGTACCCTTTAGCTGCTATCACCAGAAAACAGGAGGCAGCAAAAGGACAGCTACTGAAATTAATTCTTGGTCTTAAGTGGGTGTCACTGCTTTTGAAGTGAATACGGGAATTGCACCTGCCCTCACTAAGACTTTATTTGTCTTAAGCATTGGAAGCACAAAGCTCTTTTCCACAGTTTTGGTTTAAGAATTTCCCACTTAAGTTGGGAAGATATCAGTGATCTGAGCTATTTTATAATATCTAGCTTTGCGATTACAAAAGATAATTGTCCATCCTGCAAAGAGAAATTTATTCAGGCTCCTAACTGCTCTCCTATATCTAGAATCTCTTTTTCCCTGGTCTCTCCAGCTTGTCTACAGTAACATTCAGTGTGGCTCAGTATGGGCAGATTTGAAGAATGAAACAAGGGCTGTTGAGGACCCATCATTTATACATGTATACATTTAAGGGCAAAGAGTATTCTGAACCAGACCTGTTAGTCCTTATATGCATTATGTCCCCACCTGGAGCACAAGCAAACCTCCAAGTGATGCTCTATGCACGACAAGGACCTTTGCTTTGAAACCACACTCCCAAATCCAACTAAAATGATAGGTGTCACCTATGCCATCACTGTTTCTCTAGCACAACTTCTTCATCACACTTTCTCATGATTCAAAGCTCTGGGAAATCCTCATTTCTCTGCATCCTGCACACAAATGCTTTGTTCCCTTTCCTGATGCTCCTCCCTTAGTGATTTTAGAGTGACTGGTGGTCACTAGGAGGACAGAACTGAGTTATGTTATATTAATTTTTTTGGCCATCAGCTTTGGCAGACAGAGCACCCTCATGGAGTCTGCCC